AGGATAACAGCAACTGTTGGAAATTGTTTATTCAGCCTCGTCTGAAACCTTCGCCTCCGGGTAACTGGGTTTCAGATTGCTGACAAACTTGTCTTTTTAAAGAACTCCGGTCTTTCAGCTGAAGTCAAACTTCAGTAAGACTTGTTCTCCAAAGACTTGTAGTTCAGTCTGGGATATTGCCTTAAATGAGCCTTGTATCCCCAAAAGCCATTATCCGAAGCATTGCCTTCAGTTGGCCCTGTGTTTCGGATATCCATTTTTAAAAAGATAGAGAAACAAAACCCAGCTCAGTAATCCAAAGACTTGAATCTTCAGATTTTTTTTTGGGGGGGGGGGGCAAGACGCACTACCAGTGCAAGTTTATGTTCAGCAAAATTCTTCAAGCCGGAAGCTTTGTACTTAGCAAATTTTTGCGAGAATTTCTCAAGCTCAGAAACAGTAAAACATTCAAAATAAGACAAAGCAGTTGAAGAAAGGAACATCAGATTAATGACTCATGCTCAGAAAGTGAGCTACAAGTTCAAATAAATTAAAGATTATATCGGCAGCCGCCCACAAGTGGAAAATAACAGCTGCCGAAATACGTACAGAAACAAAAATAAACTGTTTGTACATCAAGGCAAGCTGAAGCAAAAAGATAAGGCAAAAAGAAGTTCAGATAGCGGCGAGTCTGAAGTTAAGCTCATGTTGATCCGCAAGATTCTGAAGACGACTGCCCGATTTCCTATGCTTCAGTTGGAGGATCAGGCTGATCAGCCGGGCCAAGCCTCGGGGCAGTCTCGGTTCCAGCAGCAGAGGAGGCAGGTTGGGCCCTTGCCTGAGCTTCAGCAGCTCGCTGTTCAGCCTCCAACTCCTGCCGCTCAGCTTCCTCCTCGGCTTGTTCAGCCTGAAGGATCTCATGCTCAGCAGGAGTGGCATACAGCATGTGCGGATCTTCGGGGTCCTGAGCCCAAAGCGCACACTTGGACCAATCCAGCGAAGGCTCAGCATGGAGAGCCAACCTCCGAGCCACCTTAAACCCATTAAAGTAGCCCATCTCATATTCTTCTTGGGTGTAAAGGCGGACTTGGAGTAGGGCTTCAGCATCATCCAACTTCTTTTGACTCTCCTCCAAATCCTTTTTAGATTTTTCTAACTCTTCTGAGAGTTTGGAGGAAGAAGTCTTCTGCTCATTAAGCTCCAGCTGGACGTTGGAAGCTTTGGTTTTGACCTGGGTCAGCTCATCTCCTTTGACTCTCAGCTGATCTTCCAACTCCTTCAGCTTCTGGTCTTGGCTCTCAACAGCAGCTTGGGCAGCAGAAAGGTGAACATCCCTAGCCTGTAGAGCCTCTTCAGTAGCCATCCTGCTGGCTTTAAGAGCTTCCAGCTTCCGCTGCACTTCAGCTTGTGCAGCAGCTCCTTCTTGAATTCGGATCTCGATGGCAGCTTTAAATTTGGAGATGTCCACTCCCATTTGCTCCTGAAGGAAGTTTTTCCCCCGCTGATTCTCCCCTTCCATCAGCGGGGGGGAAAAACTTCCTTCTCCATAGCCGAGCAGAAGGTTTGAATGGCTTCAGCAGCCCTCTTTTCATACTCTTCGCTCTGCTGCTGCTTCTCTTCAGCAGCCTGCTGCTTCAGCTCAGCAAGCTTCGCCTCCTCCCGGGCAATTTTTGCCTCCTCCCAGGCATGCTCCAGCTTGTCTTGGAGGGTGTCAATCAACTCTACAGTAAGAGTCTGATTGTGCACAACCTCCTTACAGGAGCACATCAGTTGAAATAAATAAAGTAATAAAAAAGGGAAAACGCCAGAAAGGAGGAGAAGAGCTGAGTGAAAGCAAAGCAACTAAAAGGTTAAGTACCTGCATCAGCAAACGCTGGTTGTCTCTTGCAGGGTCAGGGACCCTTCGGCTGGATTCTCCCATCCCAGCCGTGGCCTTCAGCGACCACACCCTTGCTCGGTCCACTTCGGACATGCTAGTCAAGTCGCCGAAGTAGCCTGCAGCCCCTTCACGATTCTACCCCAAATTCGTTCCCAAACAGGTTCTGGGACTGTGATACGGGGGGCCGAGAAACCCAAATCTCCAGAGTTCAGCGTCTGGAATGAGGAGAAGGAAGAAGAGGGAACCTCCTGAATCTTCTCAGGCTCAGCATGACCTTCTTCGGCGGAGCCTAGTTGGTCTCCACCAGGGTCGGCAGCAACGACCTTCTCTGCTTCCTCCCCCAGATCAGGTTGACGAAGAAAAGCGTCAACCTCCCTATCAATATCATCTGAGAAGCCTTTAGCAATCGGCTTCTCAGATTCTTCAGCAGGGTGTCCCTGAACCCTCCCCTTCGGATCAGGGGTTCTTGGTCCACCTCCATCTCTTGAGTTTCGGGAGGTGGAGGGGGGGTTTGAGGACGCGAAGCTTCCAGCGGAGGGGGAGCCCTCGACGAGCGTCTACCTTCATCAGGCTCCCATATGAGGATGCCCCTGGTAGGCCTCATCCCCATCTGAAACTGCCGAGGCCCCAGCACGGCCAACCTCCTCCTTCTCTTTGCTAAGGGTTGCTCGTCCATTTCTTCAGATTCTGACGAAGATGGATCTTCAGAACGAGCAGGCGCCTTTCCTTCTCTTCTTCCGCTCCCTTCCTCAAACTGCTGAAAGGGGGGGCAGCAAAGTATGAGTAAAAAAAAAAAAAAAAAACAAGCAAGTCAGGAACTTACTGGAACCCTCGGCTGAACTCCAGGTGCAGGGATATCCCTCTCAGCAGCACCAGACGTCCCAACACCTCCTTCCAAGGAGTTGATTACTCGGGACACGTCAGCTGCTGTCTGAGCAGCCTGTGCTTCCTCAAGTAATAAAGGCCGAAGGGGATCTCGCTTCTCCCACCAAGGCTTCTGCTTGGTGTATTCGGCAGCGGCTTCAATTTGAAGACCCGTTTCGTGCAGATGCAGCGGACGGTTCTTCGGAGCTGTAATTGCTGGAGCCCGGTCTAGAATGACCCTTTCAGCGTTCACCCCGAGCCGGTTATAGTCAATTCCCGAGGTAGCTTCGCTCAGCTCTGAAAAGAACAGATGAAGGTTAGACTAAGGGAATAAGCATCAAAGACAAATCAAAATTGATTAAGTTAAAGTCCTCGGCCCCAGCCGAACATACTTACCACCCTTGTACTTTCGGCTGAGGCCGACAACTGCCAACATCTTCTCTTGAAGATGTAATGGTTATCCGGAAGCCATCTGGCCGGGAGAGTTCTCATTCGGCCAACTCCCCCGGGGTTATCTGCTTCCCGAAGAAGCTCATTCGCTCATAACTCGGGTGGCTAGTGGCATCAAGGTCCTCAGGACCCAAGTCTTGCATGTTCGGATCAGTCCTGGAGAGGTATCGGGGAGCCCCGAAAAAATATGGATGCTCCGGATCAGCGGGAACTCTCACCCAGACCCATTGACCCCTCCAATCCTTATCCGAGGAGTCGTTCGGCCACATAGTCAGATATTAGGGGGCGACTCTCTATTCGCCACCAGCCTGAAGACCCGTGTTGGCCGTACACGCTCTGGAGGTTCTGCACTAGCTGATGCATCTTTCGGAAGCAGTGCAAATTCGGTTCAACAGCAAAAAACCGACACACCCAGAGATAAGTCATCACCCGCCGAATGATAACGGGTGTTAATTGGCACAGGGAGATCCTGTACTTTATTAAAATGTCCCAGACGAAGGGATCCAAAGGAAACCGAAGCCCGTATTGCAATTGCCGAGTGTACACCCCTACATACCCAGGAGGGGGACGGTGAATCCTGTCAGTCGGCGAGGGCATACGGCACCAATGCCCATCCTCTTCAAAAATGTCGTAGTGCAACTCAATTTGCTCGGCGAATCGGTAGGTTTCGGCATGCCGAACCCACCATGAGTATGGGGTATTTCTCACCATGGTGTCCTGGGCCTCGGCGTCCTGCCATTCAGCATGCCCAGGAAGCAGGTCCCAGAGCACAGGGGGCAAATATTCAGCCTGCCCAGCCTGTTCTCTCGGCTCAGGTTGCTCCGCCTCGCCGGCCTTGGCGTCCTGCTGAGGCGGCGCGGCGTTTAAAGGAACTGCCGGAATCCCCCTTTCCGGGTCTTCACCGGCTCGTTCCCCGTTCCAAACGTCGGCGCGGTCACGGGGATCCCTAGCCTGACCCCGTCGACCTGGCTGACGCCTCCTTTCTCGAGCCATAATCAAATTCAGAGAAGGAAAGAAGGGAGAAGAAGAATTTCCCTAAAAAAGGGCAAGAAAATCGAAAAAGCTCGGAGAAAATTACCTTCAAATTGGCCGGAATACGCCGGTCAAATCAGTGGAAGCGATGGATTTGAGTCTCGAACTTGGATTCAAAAATGGTACGTTGGAAATTCAGAGCGAAAATGGGTTTGCGCGAGAATTTGAGTATGAGTTGGTGAAGAAATGAAGTTGAAATGCGAATCAGACCTTATAATTCTAGGAAGGAGAATCCCAAAGGTCGAAAAGTTCAAATTTCTCTTAAATGCCTCCTTAATTAACCGTTAAACACTCTCTCTCTTGATTAACCGCCCACCATCCACTCCACTTCCTATTAATTATCCAAATTACAGTTATTTAATTAATAACTGTTTAAAAATTTAAATCTTTTGATTTAATTAAATCATTTACTTCCCTCCATTTCTTATTGGATTCAAACCCGACCCGTCATCCTTCCAAATCGGGTCTGGGGGGCAAGTTGTTTGGGTCCAATTTATCTAATTGGGCCTAGTCATGTATTTAGGTCCAATTATCTTATTGGGCCTGGTCACTAAATGACTTCATATTCCAAGGTCAAGGCCCGAGCCTCCAATCAAGCCAAGTCAACCAAGAGTCCTTTGGTCCGAATTGCCATGGTCAGCCCATGACTATGTAAAGGCCCAATTGCTCTTCTCTCATCATGTGCAAAGGTATAAAAGCCTTCAATTCATTCATTTGTGGAGAACAACACAACAAAGCCTCAAGCATTAAATCTCTTGCATAGTTTTTTCTCTCTAAACACTGTTTGACTTCGGCATCGGAGGGGTCTTCCTCGGATCCACCCCTGAGGCCAGTTTACGTGTTTTAGTTGTGCAGGAAACCTTCGGCCTAGCATCAATTGGACCGGACCAGTTTTCAGCCACTTCAACGGGCCTTCGGCAAGGCCCCATTGTTTTCATCCGAAACAACTACCATTGTCAATACACTTTCACTAAATAATAATTTTGTAGATGCAATGACTCAATGAGCACCATGATGTGTTTGTTGATTTGTCTTTAACTCGTTTTAAAATGGCTTATAGAATCAGTTTATTATTAATGAATGTCAATTACCGAATATATTATAGTTTGGAAAAATTTTATAGGGCGACAATTGTCATATACACGTACGTATGTGATAGAATTAGCTTAATAATTAGCTTAATGGCATCAATTTAAACTTGCTAAAAAAGCAAAGTTTGTAGAGCCAAAGCAAAAGAGAGATTCCGGAGAAGAAAAGGGGTGGGAAGATGTGATGTTGAGCTCAAGAATAAGAAGCACCAAATTAAAGGCACTTTTTTCTTGTTCCTTTTCACCTCCTTGTCTCTTGCCAATCACCATTGTGTTTCTTGACATACCATGCTACGTTAAAGCATTATTCTTTTATCCGAGGTAATCCTAATTTAAAGGTGCTAGCTTTTTATAAAATAGTTTTTAATAATTGGAAATCTTAATTAGTATTTGCATTAAATTGATAAAAATATCTCTGAATTAAAACTCACTATTAACATATTTAACTTCAGTTTAATGGGAAGATTTATACTTAATTTACCAATCACCTATATAACATATTACAAATGGATTATACTCTAGTAATACCAACTATAATTTGAGCGAAAAAAAAAAAAATAATTAATTTGAGCACAAAGTCATATGTGTTTTGTTTTATATAAGTGTACAAATACATAAAGTTCAATAATAACAAGTGAATTGAGGAAAATTGGAATAAATTAAAAAGGAAAACAAAGCATACCAAATCAAACTACAAATAAAAAAAAAATTCTAATTAATAAATCTTAAGCTTAACCAAATTAAACTGGAATCGGAAACGAAATCGTTCTAGTACATTTTAAATAAGCCCGTAAGAATATAGGGTATTGGGCTTAGCACTATTTTTATGATGGGCTGGTGTACTATAGGTCTGTGGCACATATATGATATATATATTTTTTGAATTGTTAATAATATTCAGGCCTCACATTGGTATTCTCTCTTTTTTTTTTTTTTTTTTTTTTTGTCCTTAAATTGTTAGTCTTTTATTCCTTCAAAATAATTGTTAGTCTTTTAAATGATACAAGTTGATAGGACACTTTTACACACAACCCTTCCTAATCAGAGCCTAACCGAATTCAACCCAATTATTCAAACTAACATCATCACGCACAACCCTAATTTACACCTTAACACAGCTATTCGCACATGTCATTCCACGGACGTGACTCGTGCGTATCCACTATGTATTAATCACATAAACTAGATTTTCTAATTTAAATTAATTACTCATTTTATAGCTTTCACATAGTAATATGAAAACTACCGTGTCCAAGATAATACTACCTCCATTAATTTTTAATTGCAACAAAGAAATATTTCAAACGATTACTTCAAAAAAAAATACCCTTTGTTGCAGCTAAAATTTAACGGAAATAGTATATCAATTATTCCGAAACACAGTGGACTCGGGGAGTATCCAAATTTGGCACACAAGTGACTCAACACAACCCACTAGCTAACAAGTAAGGCCCATTTTTGAATTTTTTTAAACTTTTTTCAAAAAAAAAAAAAAAAAAAAAAAAACAAAACGAAAACAAAAAAACGTTGACGGAGTACAACACTACAAGTCTACAACCGACTAGTAGGCGGGGAGAATGAAAGCAAGCAAACTATCACAAACAAAATCTCTGAAATTGAGTAACTTCCCAAAAATAGACATGTCTTGTACAAACTTATTAGACTTACTTGTTGGATGTCTTTCGCACATATTATCGTTGACTTCGCCGAGGGATGTCGCCCGATCATCAGCCGTTTCGACGGAGTTTTTATTGGCGTCGAAATCCGATGCCATTTGGAACAAATTTCTGCCGTCCGATTATCATTACTTCTTATCTCAATCGTCAATTCCAATTGATCAACAGCAATTTGCTTCTAAAAAAGATCTCTTTTTCTCTCTTTGTCAATCTCCTATACTCTTCAACAATAAAACTCAGATGATCTTCTTTTTTTTTTTTTTTAATTTGATTTGTAGATCGTAGTTTTCATTAGATTGGGGTAAGTTTTCTATTTATACTTTTATAGGTAGTACTAGTAGGTAAATATTTTTTATATTTATGGAGTTTAATAAAACCAACGTAAAATAAACACTTTTACCCAAAAATATGTGAATAAAAAGTGAGAAAATCAATATTTTATACTCCTTTCATTTTGATCTTAATTATTAACAGTCTTCAATAAACATCTTTGATTTATTATTTAATATGATTTGAGTAAAATTCTAAGAAGTTGATATTTTAAAAATTCATTTCAAAATAATATGATTTATTGGTGTTTGTTATAATGCACTTATAGTCAAAGTTTTAAAACGTTTATCATCAAAGTTAAGATGTAACAATAGAAAAGAAATAGAGGAAATATTAATTACGATCTTGTATGAATAATTAATTCACCCTTGGGCACATTTTATACATGTCTATATAATGTGCTCATTAAATCAATATTCCATAGTCCGTCCTACAAGCTACTCCCTCCGTCTCCCATACTCATGTTGAAAAAAAACTTATGGGAACATACTTTTATGCATAGTGAACAAGTTTATTTATAGGGAAAAGTATTTCACTTATGGTAAAACAAGTTTTAATGTATAAAAAAGCATTAATAAACATGTAATTTTCAGACTCCAAATGAAAAAGTATTTAGAGACAGAGGAAGGAGTATATTAAAATGATCTTGTAAATGTTGGTGAATTTTTTTTTTTTTTTTTTTAATTTTTTTTTAAAGCTTTATGTTCATTTTCTAATTCTTAGCTTTGAACTTATAACAAATCGAAGTACTTATATAGAACTAGGTAATAGTCTTTTCCTTGATCCATTTTCAATCTTCATATTTCTTGTGCTATTATTCCTTGATAAACTATACATCTCTATATGTAGACTTGTAACAATTTTGTTGCATAATATAGAGTTTTGCCTTGGACAAAAGTAGTGGGAAAAAATGCTACATGCTTGGTGCTAGAATGCTGATGATCTCGTGGGGAGACACCCCTGCATACTGGAGTTGGAGATTCATCCCTGAATCGAGGTTTTTCTTTCGCTCTTTCTTTGAATCAATCAAACCTTTAATCCCATAAGTGGGATCGGCTACATGAAACAATTTAAGGGGGTTGATTACATATATATTGTCAATTTTGTAGGTTTCCAGAGACTGCTCAGCTGAATTCTGTATGTTGGCTTGATATTAAAGGGCGAATACCAATCAAATTCCTCTCCTCAGATACAACTTATGGCGTGTATTTTGTGTTCCAGAAGGTTGTGCATTCTTTCGCCGGGTTTTATGGACCAGTTAAGGCATCTGTACTAGAATTTGATCAAGAAGAACAATCCAAAAGTAATGAAGATCATAGTGTAGTTGCTAATGACTACTATCTTGGGGAACAAGAGTTTGATGAACCTACATGTTGGTTGGATGGCGATGAATTGCCAGTGGAAAGAGGTGACGGATGGATGGAGATAGAGATGGGGAGGTATGATGTTGGTTCCGGTGTTGAGGCGTTTGACGAAAGGGTGGTGTTGGAGATGGCACTCATGGAGGTTGAAGACCTTAGATGGAAGAGTGGTGTTCTTGTTCAAGGCATTGAACTTCGTCCTTTGGATTGATTTTTAAAGGAAAGGATGGTTTTTTTTTTTTTTTTTTTTTTTTTTTTTTTTTTTTTTTTTTTTTTTTTTTTATTGTAATGCATTATTTAATTTAATCAACACTAAATGTGCAATTTCAATTCTACGTTTTTTACTTAATGGATGTGATGATTTATGATCATCTTCAGTTTGTACAGCAGCTTGGAACAAGAATTGTTTTTAGTGTTTTGGATGGTAATTCTTGCGATAATACTTACATTATTAAAGTAATTTTAAATGATTTTTTGATATTAATATGGAAAAATTAGACATAATAATCCCAACTTTCATCGATTTTGTTCAAATAATCCCAACTTTGGATTATTCCAGAATAATCCGAACTTTGGGGGTTCCTCTTTTTCTTCAATCCCAAACCGGTCAACGAAAGTCAATGACCTATTATTTCAGGTCACTTGACACATGTCAAGTCTTGATTGGTCAAAAACTTTAAAAAATAAATAAAAAAAAACAAATACAAAAAAAAAAAAAAAAAAAAAACAACAGCCTCCATTCCCCCACTAGCCTATGCCGCCTTCGCCACCACTTCCTCCACCAGTCGTACGCCGTCGCGTCTCCCCTCCCACACAGAACCGCCACATCACCCCTTGCCACGTAGGACCGTCGAATCGACGTTTCCCCCCCTCCCCGAAACCCCCTCCCACAACCCCACATAACCACCAATGAAACCCTTCCCCACTGCCAAAAATCCCAAATTGCTCCTCCCACTACCTCGAAACCCTAGCGGCTAGAGTTTTCGATGGTGGGGGATGGGTTTTTGGTGATTTTCGAGGGTAGGGGAGGTGGTTTGAAGGGGTTTCGAATAGAGGAGGAAGAAATTTAATTTCAAGGGAAAGAGTGGTTGCCGGAAAACGAGAAAGGGAGAAGGAGGGAGGTTGGGGGATCGCAACACCGGCTCATAAGGAAGGGAAACCGGCGGAAAGGAGGGGAATCAGCGGCGCAGGGGGGCGGGTAATAGCAGCAGCCGGTGGTTTTTGGGGTTTAGCTGGTGGCTGAATCTGGGTTTGGGTTTTATTGGTGGTCGGGGTTGGGTTTTCAGGGAGGAGTTTTATTGGTAGTTGCGTAGGGTTTTGGGGACGGTGGTGTAGAGCGGACGCCGGAGCGGCTACTCTGCTGGTGGGGGAGAGAAGGCGGTCGGCGAGGGAGGTGGCTGGCTGGGCGGGTTGCCGAACTGGCTGGGTTTCAAAATGGGTGGGTTTTTTTTTTTGTATTTTAACCAATTAAATCGCAACACATGTCACTTAAACAAAAAAAAAAATAAAATCAACTCATTCAACCAGTAACCGGTATTTGGGATTGAAGAAAAAAGAAGACCCCTAAAGTTCGAATTATTCCAGAATAATCGAAAGTTGGGCTTATTCTTCCAAAATCGAGGAAAGTTGGGATTATTATTTCTAAATTTTTCTATGAATATTGTGTGAACTCATTAATCACTACTCCGTATAAGTTAAACAATGGTCATTAATTACTCCGAATACTGACTCCATATTAATTAGACTAGTTTGTGCCCGTGTTAATGCACGTGTCTAAAAACTTAAACTTGTATACCGGAGAAATGATAATATTATCCAGAAAGAAAGTATTCCGTACTTTAAAAAATTTCTTACTTTAGTTTCATTTATAATCACTTGCTGATAAACTGATAAGCAAATTGTTTATTTTCCCCAAATTATGTGTGATTACAGTGATTGTGCGAGTGGAAATTTTCTTTTTCTTTTTAGTGAATTTGGGGTTGATTGTCTTTCCCAAATAATGCTGATTTACAGTGATTGTGATACTACGTAATTAATTTGCAAGTTTCTACTTGGGAATATTGGGATTCTTGTATTAATTGTATAAGATGCATTTGACCTCAGTGAATTATTGTGTTGGGCTATATCTGCCTTCAAGCCCACATGTATAGTACAGTAGTATATGCTTAGGTTGGATATCAAAAACGTTACAATTATACAACAAACAGAGTTGTCACCTTACATGCTTTTTCACACCTTTCCTATCAACGTTTCAAAAAACAAAAGAAGTTAAACGTGACTAGAGGGTTGTATAAGAAGCAAGCAAAGTCACATTATTGTTTCCTAATCCCATTTCCCTGTAAATTTGTAACCTCCTAAAAAAACATGCATCATATGAACTTAGCAGATCTTGCTGTGAAATGTCTCACATATACTTACATTAACAACACCGAAAGATGTTATCCGATCATCAATGGTTTCGAGGCAGTTTTTATCTGCCTCGAAATCAAACTATGTTTGGGAGAAGTTTATTCCATCTGATTGTCATGACTTTATCTCTCATTCATCAACCCAAATTGATGAACAAGTATTAAAAAACAAGAAGGCTCTCTTTTTATATCTCTGCCAGAATCCTATACTCTTGAACAACAATGCTCATGTTGGTAAATCCTCTCATTTATTTAATACACATAGCACATTTAGTTGTTGATCCAAGTGTTTAATTTACAGTCACTAATATAAGTGAGAAAAGCCACGTGAAAAAGGCTATGAAATGAGTCATGTTAATAAATTATTATAAGACCAATCCAGTCGAGTTCTATTTAGTTAGAGATCAATTTTACTACAAAAAATAACATAACAAAGTCTTATTATATTGAAGGGTAGTAGTAGTAATTGGTGCCTAATGTTGTGCTGTATACTCTGCCAGCTGCTCCAGCTTTCTTTTTTGTCTGTTTCTAGCTGTTTGTTTCTTGTTTGCCTTTTCCTAAGTTGATCTAGTGGACAGATGTCATGCTTTGTAAGGTCAGAGGACCATATATATATGTTGGTAGTCTAATGCCTTGTGATCAAGGGAGAATGAATGAAAGATTAACCTAGAAATATGAGAACATTCCTCTGTTTCCGCCGTTTTCATGTATATTCTGTCATCATGGTATCAAAGCCATAGGCTCATTTTTGCCTAAGAAAAATTCAAAAAATTCTATCTTTTTTATTCCTTTGTGTTTTCTGTCTAAAGATCTGCTAAATACTATTGAGTTTGTTCATAAAAGTCTTGATTTTTGGTGAGAAAGTCTAATGGCTACAACAATAGATGTTACGAGTCCACTGTATTTGCACCCCTCTGATGGAAATAATTTTCAGTCCATTGAGAAACTTCAAGGCTCTTCTAACTTCAGGTCATGGAAGAGATCTATGGAGATTGCTTTGGCATCAAGAAGAAAACTGGGTTTGTGACGGGAACTCAGAAGAAAGACACTTCCGACAGTGTAAAAGCAGAAGCATGGGATACATGTAACAACATGATAATCTCATGGATTTTGGGGTCAGTCTCAGAATCAATCAGGAAGTCCATCTTGTATGTGGATAATGCTGAACAAATCTGGATCCAGTTGGAGAGGAGGTTCTCACTCATAAATGGGTCTAGAAAATACAAACTCAACAAGGAGTTGTATGAGACCAAACAACTGAACAAGTCTATCAGTGAGTATTATACTCATATGAAGGCTATATGGGAGGAGTTGGAATCTCCTACTACTCTGCCTCCTATCTCAACAATGAGTGTTAAATTTTCTGCTTTTCTCACAACAATAGAGAAGCAGAAAGACGAGCAGAAACTTTTCCAGTTTCTGAATGGATTAGAGGAAGCATATGGAGCACAAAGGAGTCAGATTCTTATGATGAAAGTTCTGCCATCTGTTGAGACTTCTTGTAGCTTCCTAGAGAAGGAAGAATCACAGAGAACCATCCTTACTCAGGTTAAGGAAGAATATGAAAGCCTAGCTATGTTCAGTAAAGGGACAGGGGGAGCTTGCACAGTATGTGGAAAAAAGGGGCACCCCACTGTAAAGTGCTGGGAAGTGATTGGATATCCATCTGGACATCCAAAATCCAAGACACATCCTCAAAGGGATAGAGGTAGGAGTGTCAATGGAAATCCCAAATGGAGCAAGAACAGGCAAGGAGTGAGCAGATCTGCAGCAAATGTTCAAAGCACTACTCAGAGTGAGTCTGGGATGAGCAGTGCCAGCTCAACCAACCAATACACAATGCAGCAAATAGAATCTATGTTACGCATGATACCGGCATCATCAAAAGCAGCAGGACCAGATACAGATGATGAACTTGAGACAGGATATGCAGGTATGGTATCATGTCACTTTGCTGAGTCCATTTCAAATAGCTGGATTATTGACTCTGGTGCTTCTGACCACATGACTGGGTGCTTAGATGGAATGATTAATCTTGTAAGAAGTTTCACAGAACCTAAAATTAACTTACCAAATGGGCAAACTGCTAGTATTAGTCATGTTGGTAATGTGAAACTTGAGAATGAATTGTTGCTTAAAAATGTACTTTATGTTCCCTCTTTTAAGCATAATTTGTTATCTGTAAATAACCTTCTTCAAGATTACGAGTGCAAGGTATTATTCTATACTAAGTATTGCATTATAGAAGAGCTGAAGACCAGTGTGGTGAAAGGGGTTGGAGTGATGAAAAATGGTCTGTATTATCTTAAGAATGCTCCAATAGAGAGTGTGTTGCAAGAGATTAAGAAAGAGATTGAGAAGAATAGTGTATGCAGTAAAAGTGAAACAGCAGCTCTGAACACAAATGCATACAGAGAAGTACCAACAGTGGTACAGGAAGCTCCTATTCTGAGTACCAGAACCCTGTGGCATCATAGACTGGGCCATGCTCCCATGGCAAGAATCGAGAAAATACCTGGACTGAAGGGTATGAATACTGGAAGTACAAATGTTTGCCTAACCTGTCCTCTTGCAAAATTCACTAAATTGCCATATAATTTGAGTGACTCAAGAGCCAGAGAACAGTTTAAGCTTGTTCACTTGGATACATGGGGTCCTTATAAAGTTGCAACTAAAGGAAAATACAAGTATTTTCTGACTTTAGTTGATGATCATTCAAGGGCAACCTGGATCAATCTTTTGGTGCAAAAATCAGATGCTTTCCAGGTGATAGAGAACTTTGTTAACATGGTGAGAACTCAACACAACAAAAAAGTGAAGATCATGAGGAGTGATAATGCTCTAGAGTTTGATGATCAGAATTGTAGACCATTCTTTGAGAAGCTTGGGATTATTCATCAAACCTCTTGTGTGGATAGGCCTCAGCAGAATGGAAGGGTTGAGAGAAAGCACATGAATATTCTAGAAATGGCAAGAGCATTAAGATTCCAGGCAGGTCTTCCCTTGAAGTTTTGGGGTGATTGTGTTCATGCTGCTGTGTATATAACAAATAGATTGCCTATTGTGATCTTGAAAAATAAGACACCTTATGAAGTTCTGTATGAGAAGAAACCTCATTATGACAAATGAGAGTTTTTGGATGTCTTGCTATGGCATCTAACCCAGAGAGGAAAAATGATAAATTTGAAGCCAGAGGAGTACCATGTATCTTTTTGGGGTATCCTCAAAATAAAAAAGGATACAAACTCCTGAACTTAATGAGTGAGAAGATGTTTGTGTCAAGAGATGTGAGATTCTATGAAAATGTTTATCCTTATCA